CGAGGAGAAGACTTTGACGGAGCATGGCAGCCACGAATTGTGGCGAGTGACTTTGAAGAGCGCTTGCGCCCAAAAAGAAAGCATGTGGAAGGATTTGAGTCCCGCACTATCACAATCCCTGGAGGTGTTGACACAGACCACGCGTTGCGGGCAGTCCACGGAGGGGCTCTTTCCTCTCCCACTTCCGGGGATTTTAGGATGGTGTGAAGAAGAGAATCCTTTGTTAGAAGGGCTCATCAGAGGGTTGAACAGTTTGTATGGGGTTGACTCATCCGGAGGAAAGAAAGTCTCAAAGGTCCAGAGGAGGATCATGGAGCGGTTGAGGGGAGTGCTTAAGACCAGCGGCATACCTCGTGCGGTGCTTCCCCCACTCACGTTTGGTGATTTTTTCACCACCAAAGGCATTGACTATTCAGGTGAAGAGGTCCGGGTTGCCAGGTCATTCCAATGGAAGATGGTTGCAGCAGCTTTCCCAGAGGGTGTGGGTTCGTTGGATCTTTTGAGCTTCTGTGGTGGAGGTACCCGGTCTTACGTTTCGGAGTTCGAGAAATTCCTCTTGCCGCCCCAGGATCAAAGCCTTGGAAAGACGCCGGCCACGATGGTCAGCCAAGAGCACTGGGCGGAGGTGTGCCTGGGACTGGTCGATCGGGGGGTCTGTGGTCTTATGAGGAAAGAGGGCCTTTATCATGTTAAAGGGCGTCCAGTTCTCAATGGGCTTTTTGCAGTAGAGAAGGGTGAAAGAGCGGTAGATGCAGGAGGAGAGGAGTTCGAAGTATGTAGGCTGATCATGAACCTTGTGCCAACCAATGGGCTATGCCGAAACTTAGTGGGAGACACTTCAACCTTACCTACGGTCACAGGAATGTCTGGAACAGTCTTGAGTGATGGGGAACTGCTTTTAACATCATCTGAAGACATACGGTGCTTCTTTTATTTGTTCCGGACGCCTCCAGAGTGGCACCGGTTCATGGGCTTTGGAAGGGAGGTCCCTCCAGAGGGCCTCCCAGCGGGCTACACCGGTAAGGGATGGCACCTTGTTAGCAGAGTCTTGCCCATGGGGTTTATTAACTCCGTGGCCATCGCACAGCATGTCCACCGTCGAGTGATTCAACAAGCAATGGGGGGCGAGAGAAAGCTGGCAGGGAAGCAGCAAGAGATTAGGCGGGATCGCCACCAAAGCTCATCGTCCCATCAGTACAGGGTCTATCTGGACAACTATGATGAGTTGAACAAGGTGGACAAGCAGTTGGCAGAGACTCTAGCGGGAACTCCGTCGGCTTGGTCCCTGGCGGTGCGTGAGACATACCAGCAGTTAGGGCTTCCCAGGCATCCAAAGAAGGCAGTCATGCAGGAGGTCCGTGCCGAGGTCCAGGAGGCTTGGGTAGACGGAGAGTTAGGACGTGCAGCGCCGAAGTTTAGGTATGTACGACTTGCGCTTGAGATTTGTGTGGATGGCAAGGCTTCTCAACGAGAGTTGCAAGTGGTTGGAGGAGGCTTTGTTTACATTGCAATGTTCCGCAGGCCGTTGTTGTCTGGATTGAATGCAGTGTGGAGACAAGTCACCGAGTTGGGGTCAAGAGGCCCGTTGAGCCGCAGGACCTTGCCGCAGGAAGTTTGTCTTGAGTTGCTACGTTTTGTTGCCCTGAGCCCGTTGGCATACATGGACTTTCGATTAGCCACCTCAGAGCTGGTGACGGCCAGTGATGCTTCCACTACGGGTGGAGGGCTTTGCGTGAGTAGAGAGCTTAGTCCTTTCGGTGTTGCTGCATGCCAGGCTGAGTGTCGCGGAGATGCCGTTGAACCTGAGGAGATGGACCAGGTACTTGTCGTGTCACTGTTTGATGGCATAGGTGCCCTTCGAGTTGCCTTGGATGCTCTGCGCGTGCCTGTTGGGGGTTATGTGTCGGTGGAGATATCTCCCGAAGCTAACCGCGTGGTTGAATCCTTCTTCCCCGATGTGGTGTGCGTGAGCGACGTGGCCAGCGTAACTAGTGAAGATGCGCTGAAGTGGAGGATGCGCTTCGCCAATGTGGGTCTGGTCTTGCTGGGTGCTGGACCGCCATGTCAAGGTGTATCCGGGTTAAACTCGGATCGAAAAGGGGCGCTGAGAGACGAGCGGTCCTGCTTATTCCAACATGTCCCCAGGGTAGAAGCCTTACTCCGGGAACATTTCAAATGGTGCCCCGTGCACAGGCTTTTTGAGAATGTCGCCTCGATGGATGCCGCTGATTGCCAGACTATGTCCAAGGCGTACGGAACTATGCCTTGGAGCATTGATGCAGGTGGACTCAGTCTTGCGCGACGACCACGTCTGTACTGGTGTAGCTGGGAGCCGTTGAAGCTAGAGGGCGCTAGTGTTGTGGAAGGGAGGGAAGGTGCTCTCCCAGTCAAAGGCAAAGTGGAGCTTGCAGTTGTGGACGAACAAGACTTTTTGGAAGCTGGATGGAGTCGAGTTCGACCAGACGCTCCATTTCCAACCTTCACCACGGCTCGACCTTCAGCTGTTCCAGGACGCCGGCCAGCCGGTTTAGCTCTATGTCCCCCGGACGCAGTGGCCAGGTGGAAGGCTGACCTTCATCGTTTCCCTCCATACCAATATCGTGCAGAGAATTGTGTCACGAATCGTCAGGGTGAGCTGCGTGTCCCGTCTATCAAAGAAAGGGAGGTGATCCTGGGTTTTCCTGTGGATTACACCAGGCGGTGCCTAGTCAAGGGCGTGGAAGGTAGCACGGCTCACAGCGACTGTCGGTTGACACTTCTGGGGAACAGCTGGTCAATTCCAGTGGTCACCTACTTGTTGTACAGCCTCTTTCGAACGTTGGGCTTGTTGCCGCTGTTAGAGCTCGTCACCTTGGTGGAGCGCTTGACACCTGGCCGGGAGCAGTTCTTGTCCAGTCTCTTGATGAGACCCCCTGTCAGGCAGACGTCGAAGGCGGGCAGTGTGCAGCAGGGTTTGGTTGCTCGCTTGATGGGACAAGTCTCGGTCAAGGGAGAGGATATCCTGCTTCAGCTAGGGTCCGATCTCCCAGCGCGATATCATCGTCTGAGGGCGTCCATCCCGAGCAAGCTTTGGAGATGGAAAGATGTGGCTGGTTGGCGCTGGACAGGAGATGTTGAACACATCAACGCATTGGAGCTGCGCGCGGTCAAAACGGCCATTGTTTGGCGGTTGAAGGAGCTTGAGGAGAGCGAGTGTCGTTTCTTGCACTTGGTTGATTCATTGGTGGTGTTGCACGCCTTGTCGCGGGGAAGGTCATCGAGCAGAAGGTTGAGGAGAACATTGCGTCGAATCGGAGCGCTTCAGTTGGCCGGAGGACTGGTAGGAGTTTGGGGTTATGTGGACACCCACCAAAACCCCGCTGACCGGCCATCGCGCCGACCCCTTCGAAAGAAATGGGTAAGAAAACCACGAAAGTGATGGAAGGGAAAAGCCAACAAGAGCGCAAAAAGGTTCGAAACAAGTTAGGTTCTCTCAAAGGGCTGACGGTTCAGCCCCGTACAAGGCAACTCTACACAGAATGCCTCAACCGCTTCTTCGACTGGATGGCAGGGGAGGGTTTGGTTCTCCCTCGCTTAGTAGATGCGTTGGTCAGTGACTACTTAGAGCATCTCTGGGCTTCTGGTGAAGGAAGGTCTGTGGCAAACAATACCTTGGCGGCCCTGCAGGACCGTGACCCGTCTTTAAAGAAGAAACTACCCGGAAGTTGGAGATTGCTGAAAGCGTGGGCCACGGTTGAGATCCCCAATCGAGCACCACCCATGACCCTTCAGATCCTGGATGCTTTGTGTGGATGGTCCATTTTCAAAGGTTGCCCGGCCTTTGGGTTGTCCTTGCGAATTGCCTTTTTTGGCCTACTTCGTACTGGTGAGTTACTGAGCCTGCGGGCCAAGGATATTTTCACCCCAGGGCCGAAGGGGCCGGCAGTCCTTTCCCTTGGACTGACAAGGGGAGGAGCTCGCCAGGGAGCGGCAGAGAGCGTCACGCTTCACGAGCGCTCAATCCTCCCAGACCTCTGGAAATGGAAACAAGTCAGTTCACCTTCCCAATTTTTAACCCTCAAACCACATGCGTGGCGTGCATTGTTCACCAAAGCCACTGAGTCACTCAAATTGAATGACCTGCACTTTAGGCCTTACAGTCTGCGCAGAGGGGGCGCGACGTTCTGGTTCAACCAGCACGGTTCGTTCGATAAATTGTTCGTGCAAGGCCGGAGGCCGCAGCACGCACGGCTCGAGTGTACCTCAACGACGGCCTTGCACAGTTGGCCGACATGTCTCTGTCTAATTCAGTTTTAATTCCGTACGTCAATGTGTACCGCAAGAGCCCAAACCTTGAGCCTGGACCCCCTTTGAGGGGGGTCCAGGTCAGGGGGGACGTGGAGCGAAAGCCAAGAAGGGACGAAAGGTTGACTTTTCCTTTTTTCTGCTATGCGCGCGTCGATTTCTCGGAGTGGAGAAGTCGGAGAAACCTCCCATCAAGGCTGGAGTGAGTCTGGGAAGGGTTTCCCTCTCTTCAGGTGTCTGAGCCTAGGGAGCATCGGGTTTGGCGGACGCGGCCCTAGGAGGCGCTAGGGGGGCTCTCTGTTCCTGTCGGCTTGGCGAGGGAGCAGAGAGTCGGGGCCCCGAGAGGTCTTTAGGTAGTACAACTTTGTTGCATTTGCGACAAACATTCTGCAACGCGTGGGAAAACAAGCTGAGGTCGTGTTTATATATATATATATACAGAGAGCTTTCCAGCCCTTCTGCTTTGCAAGGGATGAAGATGAATGAACCATTTAAATTTGTTGCATCTCTTCTGCCTTTTGTTTTTGGCCTTTGACAGCCAACACCTACAACAAGGTGGGGATCCAACAAATTTGTAGCTCTTGTGACGGCGCGTATGTCCGACTGCCCCCAGCCAGCTCGATGTAGAATTTGCCATTATATATGCAATCAATGGACGTTTATTCTGAAGTATGCACACATAGTGTTCCAAATGGTGGTCAAACTGTTGCGCACAGGTTGATGACTCGAGAGATCTCAACTCCGAAGAGTTGTCACGTCTTACTCTTTCATGTTTTCTGAAGATCGTCCTGCCACGTTCCCAGCAGCTGCTGCTGGATGATATTCAACATCGACGTGGGTTCCTTCATCGCTTGGACGTACCGACTTCAGGCTTAATTCTGGTAGCTACAAAGCATACAGCCTACTTCGACTTGCAGCTGCAATTAGCATCTGGCAAAATCAAGCGGGACTATGTTGTACTTTGTCATGGCTTGTCAAGACGCAGGACCATTGAGGCGCCAGTGCATTGGCTGGAGGATGGGCCAGACTGGTTTTCAGGAAGTCGGGTGTTGTCCTATGGAAAGCCAGCATGCTCATTTCTCGCAACAGTGGCTACAGCTTGCAGACCTGCAAGCGTGTTCTCCTTGATGGGGGTCAATATTTTGACAGGTCGCTCACATCAGATACGCTTGCACACTTCTCATATCGGGCATCCTGTTGTGACAGACGGGCGGTACTCTGCAGCAGCAACCTTTCAGGATGACCTGTCATGGTGCCCGCGCAATTTCCTACACAGATATAGCCTAACCTTTTACCGTGATGGCTCATGGACAACGGAAGAAGAGGCGTGGAAGACTTGGACATATGGCTACTAGGAACAAGAAGCTACTAGGGGCTCCTAGCATCGCTACTAGGAGCAAGGACGCTACTAGGGGCTCCTGGCCTTACTACTAGGAACAAGAAGCTAGTGAAATGACCAGGTCGTGCAGCAGCTGCCTGCGGATTTGAGAAGGGTCCTCGACCTTATTCCAGGTCCGGAGTGTTGCTTTGCTTGTTTTGCCGTTCGAGCCCGCGGGGCTGTCTTCTTGCACTGTTTGAACGTTGAGCATTCTTCGCCAAAGTGATTCCGGGTTGCTGTAATTGCTTTGTTGTCATTCTTCAGATTTGCTTTTTTGTTTGTCCTTGGTCACCTGGTCGTTCTGACCAGCCCCTTAGCTGCCAGTATCCGCTGCGGCCTAGTACCACCAACGTTGCTCCCCATGCCCTGACGCAGATGCTGAGCAGTATCATTTTTCGTGCGTTGCCACCCCTGCTCAGCATCCTTTTTTCAGCGACGTCTCTGTTCCCAAAAGCCGAAGGTTCGAGTGGTCAGGTGACCGCTAAGCCCGCCAAGCTCGCAGTGCCTAAAACAAAAAACTATTGTCGCAAAGCATCCAAGAGCAAACATGCGTAGCTTTGACTTTTCGCAACCAGCTTGGTTTAAAAAACAAACACAAGCTTGCACTTCTGTGCCTTAGCTTCTGGGAAGCAAGACCTTTGCGCAATAGCCAAAAGGCTTTTCTCATTTTTGGTTGAGATTCAAAAAGCAAAGTGTCTGTCGGCTGTGGACTTCTCGATTTTCCATACTTTCTTCGACGTTCGGACTCGTACGAAGCTCAGAGGAGTTCTTCCTCAGTTTGTCGGAGGAGTTCCTGCACAGCTAGTATCTCAGACACGGCGCAAAGAAGGAGTGCCACGTGACCGAACCACCCCCCACTTGAAGAGTTAGTGGCAGACTGAACTGAGTATAGATCCCGCCCCCAGCAGGATGTTTACACACAAATTCCGCTTCACCTTCATCCAAAGTAGTCGCTTTTTGTTCGGCAGGAGTGTCGAGCACCGCGAGGATTTTCTTTCATGGCAGCCCTCCATTTCTTTGCCACCTAAGGGGATCTAAAATCAAGAGACCGATATGAGTCAACTAGTTGTGAAACACATACTGTATGCGTGAATATTCAAGCATGAGACTTCTCCACGAGTGTTTTTTTCTTGGACGCCTTCCGCCAATAGGCCCGAGCATAACTGATCAGCCCTCACAACACATATGATTCCTCACACACCAAGACAGAACATAGAACCAGTGAGAGAGAGAGCGCGAGAGAGAGAGAGAGAGAGAGACACAAAGGGCACCCACTCCTGCTACCTTGCTAGTTGCGCAGGCTGGAGGCTGGCATCCTCATGTTGAATCAGCTGACAGCATCGCGTTTGCAAAGCGTACTCTAGGCACCATGCGACAAATTGGAATTGAAATTTCATCATCACTCCAAGAGGAATCCAAGCGTGTGGCTGGAGCTTAGATGACGCAAAGGAACTTTTCATACCCCCTACCATCGCCAGCGAAGACGGGAGAGATCTGCTTGGTCTGAGGCCGAGGCTGCCGGAAACGTCCTCTGGTGGTGCGACGGCGACACGTGGCACCGCAGGCGGAACCCCCAGCCTGGTGGAAAACATATCTTGGACGTATCTAGCTACTACTACATACACGTCAGCTTTGATCTTTTGTTTTGGTTTTGTATCTTGATATCACTGACTTTATCTTGATCTTTTGTATGCCCCACAAGGAGTTGACATTGGTTCCCCAATTGAGAGTTGAGACATTCCTCTTATTTTCACATTTCCTATTCCTATAAACTCATAGAAAGCCAAAGTTCGATGCGCAGATTTGCATATGTAAAGCCTGCTAATGCAGTTTACATAGTGTTGGTAGTTGACAGAATCTTGCCTGTATCACATACGGTAAGGTGTCCGTCTTGCGGCATTCCGTACATGTATTCTTCATATCTGCGCTTCCCAATATTGAAGGTGTCCCCGAGCTGAAAGCACGGAGACATGGGGGGTGCGAACAGCACAGGAACAACATGCATAAACAGCATGTGTTAAACTTGTACACCATCTGTACATATATCGAACGCGCCTTTGGCTCAAGGACGCAAGAGAGACGAGTGTCTTTTCATCGACCGAAACGATTGCCGACTCGCAGAATTGCTATCAACCGACACGCCCCGGTTCAAGATACCTTTGTTGTTCGCTAGTTTGAGCAGAAGACCCCACATTGGTTCTCTTGTTTTGGTCCTTTTAGTTCTCTTGCTTCCGCCTGGAGGAAAGAATCCAATTGCACGGAAAGTTGGCGACAGATGTGACGGAGGCCCAGCACAATAGTTGAAGCATGCGTTATGGCTGGATGGTCACAAACCCAGAAGGCAGCTCACGCGGAAGTGCAGAATGCCGAGGAGCCCGCAAGGCACAGTAGGGTGCCTTTTGAAATTTTGCTGCGCAGCAGATTTGTGTAAGTCAAGATCATTCATTTGTATATTTTTCTGCAAGTTTGGAACGGATACCTACAAAGAACACAGGAAAAACAAAAACAAGAAACAATGTCAAACCAGTGCTGGGATAATGACAGGGGTGCAGCAAACATGTGCGAACATTGTCAGAGATTAGAGTATCTGTGCATCACCATTGTGACTTAATACTCCTGCATGCGGGAGCACGTAGCCCTGAGGCAAGAGACACGAGGAATGCAGAAGGCGGGCGGGCCAGGCAGACATGATGGTTGCTATTTTCCGGGACTCCTCCCGACCCTGTTGCTCCCAACATGCTGCAGCAAGAGCCGCCAAGACTGCCGAACACGCCGGGCGCCTGCTGCAGCACTCTTGAGTTGAACACCCTGACAGGATTCCCTTCTCATCAAAGGCCGCAACGTGTGATTGATTGCGGTGTTGACTCTCCATGCTCATCAGAATCATGGACGTCAAAGCAGGGCTGGCGCAAAAAAAACTCCCCAGACAAAAAGATTAAACAAATGTGTTTCCCCACATTGACGTGTTGGGTCAAACTGCCACCCACCACTTGCTACCAAAGAATTGTCGCCAACCAATTGCTACCAACCAATTGTCGCCAACCAACTGTCACCAAACTGCCGCCAACCAATTGCCACCAACCAATTGCCACCCACCTATTGTCGCCCGCCAATTGTCACCAACCAATTGCCACCAACCAAACTGCCACCAACCAATTGCCACCCACCAATACCAACCAATTGTCACCAACCAATTGCCACCAACCAATTGCCACCAACCAATTGCCGCCAACCAATTGCCCTCAACCAATTGTCACCAACCAATTGCCACCAAGAAACTTCCACCAACCAAGTGCCACCAAGCAATTGTCACCAACCAATTGCCACCAACCAACTGCCACCGACCAATTGCCACCAACCAATTGTCACCAACCAATTGCCACCAACCAATTACCACCAATAAACTTCCACGAGCCAAGTGCCACCAACCAATTGTCACCAACCGATTGCCACCAACCAACTGCCACCCACCAATTGTCGCCAACCACTTGCCACCAAGCAGCTGCCACCCACCAATTGCCACCAAGCATAATTGTCACCAACCAATTGCCACCCACAAACTTCCACCAACCAATTGCCACGGATGTACGCCCTGGTGCTCCTGGGTCACCCCGGTGTGTTTGGTGTGGCAGGCGCAGCGCTTGGTGCTCTCCAAGGGGTCGGATGTACGCCCTGCAATGGTGCTCCTGGGTCGCCGCCGCTGCGCCGGTGTGATTTGCGTGGCAGGCGCAGCGCTTGGCGATCTCCAAGGGGTCGGATGTACGCCCTGGTGCTCCTGGGTCGCCGCCGATTCTTATGACTTTTTGAAACGATACTTCTACCAATATATAGACTCATGTAAAGAGGAGGTCCTTTGATCAAGGATTAGACTTGTAGCGTGACGCAGGACGTCTCAGATCTTGCATCGGAACTTCAGAAGCTCATGGAAGCCTTGGAGACCATGAAGCGAAAGCAGGAGGTGCGTCAAGCTTGCCCTACGTCGTGTTTGTATATTATCCTTGAGTGTGCGCTATAGTGTCCAACGTCAATCGAATATTCAGAGCTCGTGATTCGTCTTAAGATTAGACATTTGAACAAAGCATAGCAGCCAAACATCAGCGGCATCCCAAACCACAAGCGGCAATTCCCCAACAAACCCAACGGCAAAACACCATCGCGCAACCACAGAGCACCGCCAGCTATAGCAGCTGGCGACTTGTCATGACCGGAACTACTCAGCAAATTAGCCAGCAAGTGTGGCCAAATAAATTATCACACAAAACCTTGAGAATGTAAAGGGCAATGTGTCTCTCATGCAGTTCTCCTTCATTTTACTGAAGGAAGTTGCAGGATTTTCCTTGCACTTTCTCTGATTGATTCAGCTTTCAGCACCCTGACGCCACTGTGGATCACAGGAATTCCTTTGGCCAAAGCTTTTAACATTCGAGCCCCGTTCGCCAGTCGGGTCGAGACGACGCCCCGCGCCTCTTTGAATGTCACGCTTTTTCAAGCGATCAGACAATGCCCCCAAGGGTAAGACGAAGGCGGAAGGACATGTGGGGGAGCTCCACACGCTTTTGGGCTGCACACTCCCTGATGAGTGCCTGCAAGAAAAGGAAATTTCAAAGAGCTTGATTCGGAATATTTGGAACGCCCTGATTGGACGCAGCAAATTCACTTGGAAGGAAATGGCCCCATCAAAGAAGGGAGCATGGCAAAGGTGTTCGTAGCAGTAGTCAGTGTGCCAGAAAGTTGCGTGGAAGATGCTGAAGGCCAGAACAACCTACTGCCACGCCTCCCTGGGCCCCAGAGTATTCACGCATACAGTATGTGTTTCACAACTAGTTGACTCATATCGGTCTCTTGTTTTAGATCACCTTAGGTGACAAAGAAATTGAGGGCTGTCATGAAAGAAAATCCTCACGGTGCTCGACACTCCTGCCGAACAAAAAGCGACTACTTTGGATGAAGGTGAAGCGGAATTTGTGTGTAAACATCCTGTTGGGGGCGGGATCTATACTCAGTTCAGTCTGCCACTAACTCTTCAAGTGGGGGGTGGTTCGGTCACGTGGCACTCCTTCTTTTCAACTGTTTGCTCAAGCTGTTGCATCCCACTCAGGCGTTCAGGAGCAGGCATGTATTCGGTGAACGCGTTGCCACACAACTTGAAGCCAAAATCAGTTCAGGTAAAGAGGCCCAAACACCTTCCTTTTCCCTTCCTATTTCATGAAACGAATATCAGCCGATTGGACGACGTTGCACTGCGCTTGCCTCGTTTCCATGTCGATTGCACCTCAGCCACGAGGTTGTTTTGAGAATATCAATCGCGTTTTCCGCCTTGTTTTTCTTTACGCCGTCAGACCATTCTTTTCTTTTCGTTTTGTTCTTCTTTGGACCTTGAGATCTGTCCTTTCTCGCGTGTTTCCGTGTTTCCCTTTTCTTTAGGCGTTGATCGTACTTTCGTATTTTCGTTTTTGCACGGTGTTTGCAATTTTTTTCTCCTGCGTTTTTGTTTCTCCTCCCAGAGATCCGGTAGTTTTAAGATTGCAATGGAAGATCACCCCTGTGGGTCGATGATTTTTTGTTCTCCCATTGTTTGGTCAAATTTCGCCTCGTCCAATCGGTTCCTTTATGAGATTTTTACGTGTACACAGGGTTCTGTTTTATAGGTTCCAACTTTGGCATTAAAAGTATTGACATATAAAGTCATACCATATCACAGCAACTGCGAGCTGCTTTCTTTTGATCACTGGCAGCAAACCCATCATCATCATCATCATCATCATCATCAGAGGGAACTGACCTGGAACTGCAAGTAACAATGTTTTGCACTCGGAGGAAGGATTGGCAACGAAAAACCGTCTCACAACAAACTGGCCAGGCTCGCCACACTTGACTCTAGACCTGCGCATTGCATAGCAAATACATCTAAAGGTGAGATAGTGAGACATGAAACACAACTTTGAAACACAGCCTGTTAATTTTGGCTGAGTGCAGTATTTTTGGACAGTGAGTGTACGCGCACACTCTAAGCTGGGATTCTCTTTCAAGGACTGCGGAGAAGTGATGAGAAACCTTTTGAAAGACTCGAACTGATCGGAGCACCAAATCGGCTTTCACTGCAAGATGTGGTATTTGTGGAAAAAGATTTGCCTGATATCTAGTATGCAAGCCTATTGTTTGTATGTTGTGCAGAAGACATCCAGATGACACGAGACTTTTCGCATCCTTTTGCACCTGGCTCAAGACCAGCCGCATGATCAAAGCCCTTGCGAAAGATCACAGCTGGCAAGATGCTTTGCATGCAGTACAGTGGCGTTGTTTTTCCACGGATGCCAAAAAGACAACCGCTTTGGGTGCTTGTAGCCGTGCCAAGCAGTGGGCCTTGCTGTGCCTTTTGCACGATGATGCCCTCCCAAATGTTATTTTTCGAAATGTTGCAATCAACGCACTGGACCGTGTCTCCCACTGGCAGCGTTGTTTTGATGCGCTCAGCGAATTCGCAGTTATAACTTTGGAGCCTGACAAAATTTCATTTGGTAGTGCCCTTTCGGCATGCTCCAAAAGCAATCAATGGAATTGTGTACTGAATTTGTTCAGAACTTGCCAAGGCTTAGAAAGCAAAGTTCAAAGTAGCGTGTCATACAACGTGGTGGTGACAGCCTGTGCAAAGCAGCGCGAGTGGAGGGGTGCTCTAACCATACTCAGCAACTATCAGCAAAGCCGGCTCCCTTTGGTTGGAGTTGACAAAGCTCTCATAACTTCTGCCATGCGAAGTTGTGGTGAACGTGCATGGGAATTGATGTTGACCGGAATGCAGGAACTTGTGGATGGAACAGTTCGGGTAGACGTTGTGATGCTTACTTCTCTTATTGACGTGTGCTCTTCATGGTCAGTGTCACAGAAAGTCTTGAGCAACATGTGCCTGTCGTCACTGCCTCCAGACAACATTGTACTTGCAGCAGCAGTGAGATCCATGAATTTGTGGGAAAAAGCTCTTCACCAATTGACCTGTGCCATTTCCTTGAGCTTGGCGGATGCGGCAACCTTTAACGCAGCTATGAATGCTTGTGCAGTTTACAAGGAAGAATCTTCGATGGCACTTTTTAAGTCCATGAGAAAACTCAGGGTTCAAGCCAATGCTGTCAGCTTCAAGGCTCTTGCCCTCTCAGTTGAGAATTGGGAACTTAGCCTTTCCATCCTGTCCTATGTGCCAACCTACGGAGTAAAATTGGAAGGATTAGAATCAAGCTCAGCAGGGTTATCACAGCTGTTAGCACCTGATGGCTTTCATGTTGAATCATCTAGGTGGATGTGCGCTTTGCACCTTGTCTCAAGGGAAACACGACGTGGAGGACAGCTCTCTTCGTCCTGGCACCTTCGGAACTGGGCCTTGGCCCTTCAATTGAACCAACGAGACTCGCCAGACTCGATATCAGAGAAGGTCATGAAGGAATCATGTGATTCTCTTGGATGGCAATGGTCTTTGTCTGCAATGGCAGCCCGTGATGGGGGTAGATTGAAAGCACTTGCCTTTGTACATGGAGGCAAGTGGGAATCTGCGATCTTATGCCTTGAGCAGCTCTTTTTGTGGCTTGGCCACAAGACATCGGTTTGATATATGCGCCACAAACAATTCATGCCTCGTCAAACAAACCTAGCTAGCTTGACCTTCCTTTGACCTCATTCCATAGCTTTCCTGGATGAGGAAGTTCAGCAACTGTTTGAAAACATGGGCTCCTCACTCTCTTCATGGACTGCAAATGCGTTTGTACAACTTGTTCCTGTCCTGCCGGGTCCAAGGAACCGGTCCACACCCTTTTTGTGGCTAGGTTGCCAAGTGCAAAAAATACCTGTGTTATCTCTATAGATGCATTACTCTTCCTCAACTCTGGACATTTGATCGGACTCCAAACACACAGTTCTTAATGGTTTATGGTGCGATGTTTGTTTGGTTTCAGATCCAAGCGTCTTTGAAGCAGCCAGGCAAACTCAAGCCGCACTAGAAGGCAAAACAAGCGACCTTTGCCACAAGGTCTTGACCTGGACTGGTAATGGAAAACGGGCTGCAGCTCTTTTATGGCCACGGGCTGCAGGGTTCCTATCATGTCTTCAACAGAAGAGGTTGCACAGCCATACGCAACTAGCAATGTACAATGCGTTCATTGACGCTGGTGCAAACCCAACGAAGATACTGGAAGCAATTGAGGATTCGAGCTTGCAAGCTGATTCGATGACTTACAACTCGCTTATAGCATCGCATTCAAAAAAAAATCAAATCTTCAAAGCGCAACAACTTTTCTTGGATATGAGGCGAGACATATTGAAGCCTTCCACCTTGGCTTGCAACATCCTGTTGGCCGCTGGTGATGCAATCTCAGAGTTTCCAAAGATGCTACAGGGCAAGCTGGAGCCGAATGTGGTGAGCTATAGCACGGTGATAAGCGCCTGTCAAAAGCAGCAAAAGTCTCAAAGTGCCTTAGACCTTCTTTGGACCATGCGTGTTCAATTGGTGCTGCCGAACATGGTCACATGCAGCGCAGCTATCAGTGCTTGTGGCCGCCACTGGAAGACCGCAGTGTGGCTTTTTGCGCTCATGGAACTGGACATGGTTGAGCAAGATGTTATCAGCTATAATGCTGCCATCAGTGCATGTGAGAAGGGTAGCAAGGCTGGACGTGCCAGACTGTTTGGACTTTGTTTTGCTCCACCTTTGATTTATTTATTGCTATTATTTAAGACGCTTCCCGTCGACAGCCGCTCACACCGCTCACGAACAGCCGAAGTTAGTGAAATGGAAGTGGCCATCTAGGCGCCAGGTTGGGGACATGTGCAGCCATCTAGGCGCCAGGTTGGCTATCTTACGGCTGCGTTGGAGCCATCTTGGGGCCAACTTCATCTACCTTGGAGCCCATAATGGTGATACAACTTCGGCATTGCCAAAAGCCATCCAAAAATATACCTCCAAAGCGCTCTCCCCAGTGGCCCTGCAGCCGAGCAAGAATCAACGCAGCAACCACCCCAAACCACAAAAACTCCTCCAAAGCGCTCTCCCCAGTGCCCCTGCAAGCATGACGTAACGAAAAATCAACCAAAAATGCCAATAGCACGCCCAGCACCGACAAGCGGTGCGGGCGGATTTCAAAGTCTTTTGGGGACATCGATGTACTGACATTTGCTTTTGGACTGCCGCGTAACTCGATGCAAACAACAAGGAAACATCGCACATGCACAGTGACGGTTGCCATGCAATAAAGTGAAAATCGACTGAACAGCACAGAGCAGTACAGCACCAAACAGTACAGCACTGAAGATTCTGTTTGTGCCATAGGATGCGAAGACAGTGAAGCCAGCCAAAGTGAAAAGATGGATCACTTAGCAAGAACTGAACTGTTCTCTAGAAATCTCCAACTCTGCGTTCTGCAATGCCCCCGACACAGCCTTGACAATGCATGGTGCAACCGCAACCTCCACTTCCAATCCTGCATAGCACGCTGCTGCCATACACTGTGTTTGGTCATCCGGCTCTCCGCATAGGCAACCGCACCATGCTGCCGCATGACCCACCAAAGAAAGAAGATACTGGACAATCTCACCTCTAGTTACATCCTTTCCTTCGCTCAGAAAGTCTCGCAATGCCTGTATACACACATGCTGGTGATGTTTTCCTGTCTGAGCGTGAAAGGGCTGGGATCAGACTTCAGATCCTGTATCAGAATGGGATCTTTTAGAATCCCGGTGAAGCTGCTGTGGAACACCCGAAGAAACCTCAAAAAGTGTCCTTTGCTTCGACTTTTCTCGTGTTGGAAGCATTGTGCTTCTGGGGTCACCGCTCACGGGAAATATCATGGTAGCTGCGATGTAGCCAACGTGTGAGCTAGGGATGCAGGGAGAGTTTTTCTCGTGTGTATATCTGGGTTTAAACGCAACCTGTTTTTGGAACTTTGAGGTGGACGTTGCCTTGCTGCTGCGGGACAGAATGTTGCACAGACGGGTTGCAGCAAGCGAGATCACGTACAATGCTCTCATCAGCGCATGCGAAAAGAGTAGTTGCTTACGTGAAGGATTGAAGCTGCTGACAAATATGCAAAGGAGGAAAATTGCAAGCAGTACAGTAACATACAATGCATTGATCAGTGCATGTTCGCGGCTATCCAGAATTGGCCAAGCCCTGGCTTTGTTTTCAAAGATGTGCTCAGCTTCTTTGCAACCTACGGCAGTCACCTGCAGTACTTTGATCAATGCATGTGAGACTGCACACCGTCCTTCCATCGCATTGCGAGTTTTCAAGCAATTCCAAAATCTTCACGTGGGTTTGAACCTGATTGCCTACAACGCTATCATCACAGCTTGTGGGAATGCTTCTTTTCAGAAGCAAGCACTTGAGCTCTTTCGGGAGATGTCAGAACACCAAGTTGAGACCGATGTTGTCACTTACAACTCGTTGATCTCTGCTTCCAGCAAGATCCTTGCAACTGACCAGGCCTGGAGTTTAGTTGGCGAAATGGAACGCAAGAGGATTGAATCAGACATCATTACATCCATCTCCTTGCTGCAAGGGGGTACTCCCTCAAGTAGTTTGGAAAAGCTTTGCAATGAGTTGGACAATCAATGCCTAGAATGCATCAAGCATTTGGAAGCACGTTGAGTTCAATATACTCAAGAAAAGGCCGATACACATTTGACTTGACATATTTTTCAATTTACGAAGAAGCCAGGCCATGCTTGTGCCCAGGGCATGGATGCACGGCATGGCCAATAGCGGCAACTGAAAAGACCATTGCTGACAGTCTTCAGTCTGCATCGACTTCTTTGGGACGCATCACATGTTTACTCAGCCATTGTGATGATACCCGAAGGTCTTGAGAATTAACTTAAATCAAAGCCTCAATACGTCAAACATGCACGAATTAGCATTCTTGGCCTGTAAAGCACCATTTCCCCAAAATGAAGGGGTGTTTCGAACAGCAATGACATGCAGCTAGAATATGACTTCACTCTTTGCCATTTCTTTTAGCAGTCGGCCATTACATCTTTCTGCGTCGGCCATGGCTTCATGCTGGAGGCGACATGAAAAACGATTCGTCATACGAATTGTCGCATTCATCCTAGGCTCTTGGAAGCTAATCGTGCCAGACCAGCTACAAGACTCTGATATTATCCTAGCAACGACAGCTGCATACTTCAGGCCTTTACAACACTTAAAAATCTTAAAAGCAATCACTCAGGTTTTGTTTAAAGAACTGTTTGCTTTTCACTGCCGTGGATCCGAATCGACTTGAAGGCCTCAACAGCTTCTGCTGCTACTGCAGCCTTGCGGAGAACTGTCAAGCAGCATGGAACCAAGGCTCACTTTGTTTTTTCTCGTGACAGTTGAGCCAGAGGTGGAATATGGTGGAACATTGTTTTTCTTATTCCCTTTGAGCGTTTGACCACCAGCAGTACCACCAGCAGTACTCGTACCACCAGCAGCAGCACTGCGCACCCTGTTGAGAATCATATCAAAAAACGAGTTCCTGTTCATTCTTGTTTGTTTCCTTTCAAAAGCAATTCTTGGACAAGAATCCCTGCGATTGTTTCGGGGGAGCTCTCGCTACAGATCCTCCCTCAATTGTTGATCGGGGGAGGGTGTTGATAACTCAAGATTCCACATTGAGGGGTATTGATGGTGTGTTTTACTCGATATCAGACCTAGTGCAATCCAGCTTCTGTTTCAGACTGGTCAAAGAGTTCGCAGGCCGCGCAGTTCCAGTTGCGACAGATGCTACAGGGGACGGTGGAGGCACCTCAAATCCAACTCAAGCTACTCACTCCTTTTTTCTTGCTTTTCTTTGTCCTGTTCTGTTGGTCCTTTTTGATGAACAAAAATGGAAGGTCAACATCATCCACTTTAACACTTGCATTGCAGCATGTGCATACGCTGATTGGGCGTCTTCACTCGAACTGTGGACACTTGCAGAAGTTTCCGGCATCAAACCAGACAGCTGGAGCCTCAACGCCTTTATGGCGGCACAAACAAATTGGACATTTGCATTAGCTGCGGTTGCTCGGGCTAACGATCCAGTCGGATGCTGTGATGTGATTTCGCAGAATATTTTGATGTCAACAACTTCATGGAACTGTGCCCTTGATGTCTTTCATGGTCTACAAATGTCTTTATTCCAAGCGGACGTCTTCAGTTTTAGCAGTTGTATCAAAGCAGCTTCCAAGCTCAGCTGGCAAGTGGTTTTTCGATTCCTGGAAGCAGCGGTTGAACTCCCGCTGGACGTCATAGTTCTGAACTCAGCACTTTCTGCTTTCGGGAATGCCGGACAATGGCAGGTTTCTCTAGAAACCTTGAGACTTTACCCGAGCCTTGAGCCAGATGTCGTGAGCTTCAATGCCTGCCTAAATGCCTGCGAAAATGGCAAAGTTAGCAGCGCTGCACTTGATTTGCTAGAGCACATGGAGATCCTCAACATATCTCCAAGCATTGTTAGCATGAACAGTGCCATCAGTGCCTGTGAAAAGACTACTGCATGGCAAACAGCTCTTGGCCTGCTAGCAGACTTGCCTGGATATGCCCTTCTTCCTGATCCGATCACCTACAATGCTTCCATATCGGCTTGCGCTGCAGGATACAAGTGGCAGCATGCCGCATTGCTATTTTACACCATGGAAGTCTCCTCCCTTTCCGATGAGATCAGCTTTGCTGCATTGATAGCTGCTTGCTCCAATGCTTCACAGCTGAACTCTTCAATGAAGTTGCTTCAATGTCTTGAGAGCCACCGAAGTTTGAAGCCAAGTCGTTTGATCTACAACAGCTGTTTGCATGCCTGTGAAAAAGTGGGTAACTGGAAGCTAGCTCTCCATTTGCTACGGCTGATCTCCAAGGGACAGATCTCGGCTGATCTTCTAGGCTACACATCTATCATCCGTGCATGCCAGCTTGCATCGAAATGGCAGCAAATTTCTTATTTGCTCGAACAGATGCAGGATGAACGTATCCATTTGGATTCGTTTTGCCTGGATGCAGCAGTTGCAAGTGCAACACTTGCAGGACATTCTTTCAATGTCGCACGACTTCTAGGCAGTTTGTCTCAGGACATGTTAAAGTGAGGGTTGAATTGATTATGTCGCCGGTTTTTTCATGGGCAGCAATGCCGAGCATTTTGCAGAACTGTTTCACTACTCCAGTTTGCTTTGTTGCATCTAGTTACGAACAGGCAAAACTGGACCTTCGTGCATTTACAGCATTGTCAATTCCACAATCCTAAAATGATCCAGCAACTGCGTGGGCGATTCCTGTTCTCCTTTGGTGACTCAATCTCAACGAACCAAACTCAAGCTCAGGTGCCAAAGCGCTAGATACAACGGCAGATACAATCGCAGAACATTGAATTCACAATAAGCAATTCATCATCTCAGCTCCTTTAGAGGAGTGTTGAAGGGGAGCCCTGCTCAATCGGAGTCCTTTCAGCAAGTTTCTCAGTGTTGTCGACACCACATAAAGCAAAGACTGTCAAGATGATGCTTGAAGGCACAATGCCCCAACCAAAGTAAATTCCAGCAAAGATCAAGCTTCTTCTGTGACACGTGATTTCCTCTTAGCTCAAATGCTTCCACGGAATACAGCAGCAGACAGGCTCGGTCAGAGTGCTTTTTGTCGTTCAAGTGAGAGAACCCCAATGGCAGTTTCTGCTGGAGTGTTTTTTGGAGTTTTTGCGTGTTAGTTTTCTTACCAAAACCCGATATGGTGTCCCACCCAAGCGGAGCTTTCACTCTCTTCGTCTTCGTGTGAGGAGGTTCCATGTGTACCGTGATGGATCCGTCAAGCTTTCAGAGGAGAGACTTTGCAGATCACAATCAAAAAAGAAAGAAATAGAGACTTTGGACGCTACTAGGAGCAAATGGCATCACTACTTTGAACAAGGGCCTTACTACTAAGTAACAAGAAGAACGTAATTAGAATTCAATTAGAATCAAACAAGAAAGAAATAGCAATACATAACTAATAGTGATGGCCTCCAACCTACTAGCGATGGCCTCCGGCTCCAACCTACTAGCGATGGCCGCCGGCTCCAACCTAGTAGTGATGGCATCCAACCTAGTAGCGATGGCCTCCAACCTACTAGTTACTAGCGATGGCCTCCGGCTCCAACCTAGTAGCGATGGCATTCAACCTAGTAGCATGGCCTCCAACCTACTAGCGATTGCCTCCAACCCACTAGCGATGGCCTCCAACCTAAGAGTGGGCTAAAAACAAAGAAAAGCTTCTGAGTGGGCGTGTTTGGTCATGGCTCTTTGCTTCCTAGGCCGTGGGCTTGCTATCAGATGCTCTTGAGAATCGCTGCTTTACCGCTCGATTGCCGACGTCAGTCCTGACAAGACTTGCGAAGGAGAAAGAAACACAGGCCAGGAGTTACATGGAGTTAGGAGAGTGGAGTAAACTCTTGGAGCAACTCCAGAGTATCAGAGCTGAAGCAGCTGAACACATTTTCGTTGTTCAATACCTTCGAAACAGGCCAGCCAGCCTAAAACGAGAGAAAGGTTCTGTACGTGAAAAACAAGTGTCCTCAAAATGTTTGGATTTCACCGGTTGTGTATGTTTTGATGAGCTTGTTCTTTTGAAATCTTTCATGGTTATTCATCTTGGACAAGGGTGCAATTGAGAATTTCCCTGCGTGAACAGACACAGTTTGAATAAGCTTGGGCAGGTACTTGGCTTATTGCTTGTGGCTTGCTTTTTTGGGTGAAGAGTGTATATTTGCGGCCCTGCACCTCAATCCCCATGCCAAAGTAGGAATCTTTCCGACAAGATGACAGGAAACTGCTTTCTGAAGTTGGGGAAGATTCCGGAGTAGGCGAACAATTCCACTTCAAGGTAGCCTCTGAGAGGGCTAGCTTGAGTGTATCATGCATTGGGGTGGAACTATGGATCGCTCAATGACACCCTTCCGCCTCAAACCTAATAGCGATGGCCTCCAACCTAGTTCCACTGCAACTGCATATCATGTTCATTTTTGCGTGATCAAGAGGACATCGCCTGCCACTTCATACTCGGTGCATACTCACTTCATCTGTCAAAACACCACTCGTCTCACCGTGAGAACCCACCTCCTACTTCAGTGCTGGACCGGCAGTGACGCCGTACCAAGACACCACAGGTCAAGACATATTTGCTTCGGCAACACAGGCGACAAGCGGCAACAAGTATCGCTTCAATGATGAGAGCCCAATGGTGCACAGCTTCACCAGCAGTATCTCCATGCCACCAGCAACAACCTACAGCTTCCCTAGTGCTGAGAATACGGGTTGATGTACGATGAAGCATGAGGAAGCCATATCCATCCTTTGTAGCGGATCTTGTGTAGGCAGTGGGCGTAGTTGTCTGAAGGCGATTGAAGGAAGGAGTTGGCCATATACCAGTGCTTAGACATGCGTTTTCCACAAAAACGACACCATTCAGATTCAATTCAGATACGTTTCTTTTTGGCGCCTTTTTTTTCAGGTGGCACTTCGGGTGTTACACTGGATGTGCCTTGCTCAAACGAAGTGTCTTGACTTCTGAGAGAGCCTCAGGCATCTCGTGTCTGAGGCAAAAAGAATCGCTTGAAGTGAACAGCTTTCACTTTTCTGCTACTTTGTCGGCATGTGCTGCAAGCAATGATTGGCAGTTGGCGCTTTGCATGCTGGACTCTGCAGAGATCAATGAAGTGTGAGCTTCGGCTGCTTAGAATCGGGTGGGAGAGATTGCTGGGGCCGGCAGTGCAAGGGTAGATATCCTAAGCAAGGTAAGCGATCAAACATTTCGCGTGGACCAATTTCGCTAAACATTGCTGTCAACAAACATTCTGTGTAAACAGGGTCTATCGCCCTGCTAAGTGACACTTTCTACACTTTCTATATACACACTTTCGTCTTAGTGTCCTGGGATTGAATTAACTGACATATATGGTGATACCTTTTAATGACAAATCTATACTTGCAAGGCGGACATGTGAAGACTCCAGAGGCGACCGAAACTCAAGACCCAAAAGGCAAGTATTTGAGTATTTCAAAGCATGCGGTGTTACGTTACCGTACGGTGTCTTGCAAGTATCATCCTATATAGTGGAATTAGGTGCCATTGGACAGATCCTTTTGCTTACCTCAAAGTCGTGTGCAGGTCAACAAGAGGTGGAAAGGGAAAAAACCAAACCCTTCACCACATCAGAATCACACCACACTCACCACATTGCGCATCATGAAAGCATTCAGGCAAGACACATTCCGCTATTACCCGTTAAACCTGTTGGTTGCTGTGTGTTTTGGTGTCTGCGTCTTGAGCGTGCACACTACTGCAATGCCGCATCCAACCATGACAATGCAATCTCCACTGTTCATCACTTTACTATGCAATTCTCGAGGCAGTTCTACTTAATTTGAATTCGCTCTGTGTATATATATATATATAGTGTGAGTGGCACCTCAGAGCAACCTCACGCTGCAATTGCAGTGCGTTCCAATTCAACACAACCCAGTGACAACCAGACCGAGCTATTATTGCAGTGCAGATTGAACCATTGTGACATCACTGCGACCTTCATGCAGCAAACTCCCAACCTTCCACAGCCATCACACTGTGTTCGCAAGACCTGAATTGCACTCCCCGAGATAGTTGCCTCAATGCAACTCAGCTACAGCGAGCAGAACCATTACAAGGCATTTTGAACCCCTCAGTTGAATTCCATTTGTTTGCGCCATGAAACAAACGCAGGGCCTCCGTAGACGTGCCCAAACCGTCCCAAAACCTGACGGGCAAAGCTGAAAGCACATTTCGCTCCCTGATTTTGAGGCTTCAATGCTGCTTTAGATGCTTGCTTGAAAGCCGGGCAGTGGAAACGATCGCTGGAGTTGTTCCGTGAAATGCCAAAGCGCCAGCTTGTGGCAGACGAAGTTAGTTGCAATGTTGCCATTGTCTCTGCAGCTTTGTCGAGCACTTGGCAGCTAGGCTTGTCGTTTCTGAACGGTGTTCAAGCTGACGCAATCAGTTTTTCTTCCTGCGTCAGCGCATGTGAACGCAATGGTCAATGGAATTTGGCTTTGACCTACCTGGAACGACTTCAGCAGAGGAACTTTGAAGCATACGCGATCTGTTGCAATTCGGCCGTGAGTGCTTGTGCAGCACGATGGCATTTGGCATTTAATCTCGCGGGCGGAATGAGTGATTCTTCCATTCAGTCAGATGCATTCACCTACAGCTCTGTGCTATCAGCGCTTTCAGCAGACTGGGAAGTCGCAATCCACACAATGCAGTTGTCGCAATCCAAGGATGAGATTGTATTCAACGCGGCAATCAACACTTGTGTCCATGGGGGTTGGATGACAGGTCTCAAGTTGCTGGATGAGATGCAGACTAAAGGGATCAGGTCCAAAGCACATCAACATGCCACTGCTGCTTCTGAAATTACCTATACTGCAGCTGCTTTAGGATGTGGAGCAGCACGGTGGAAGCTTGCTGAGCTCCTGTTTTCCAAAATGAAGTATGTCAAGGCCCACACTCTGATTACCGTTCGACAGATTGAAGGATAGATAGATATTATATACATGATAATGCTCACATACGCTATATTGCATTGTACTACCATTTACTTTTATTATATAGCAAGAAGCTTGTTTGCTTGCAATCCGCTCTGACAGGTTCGTCCCGACGTATTTGCGCACAACGCGGCTTTGAGTTTTTCGGAGGAAGTTAAGCGCTGGCAAGGAGCACTTTCCTGCTTGCTCCAAATGAAGTCCACGGAACAGGCGCTTTGAGCAGCAATGCGCAACCACTTTTGTCGATATTGAAGTATTACAAGACAGCTTCGTACTAAAACGCTTTGTACTAAAATCCGTACTTTGGCTCTGAACTCCTGCCTGGAGGTGCCAGATGAGATTAGCCACTTGATGGCAAAACGTTCACACTGCTGGCATTGCACTGGCACTTGATTACCTTTTTCAATGTGAAAGCTGAGGTTACACTGCTTGCCTCAGTGCCAGCGAGAAATCCTCACAGTGGCTGTGGGCAGTGAACATCCTTGAAGCCTATGAACCTACAAAGGACTGCGGGGTATTGTTTGCCTGGTCGTGACGCTAAATAAGGGGGTTGTGTTTATTTCTTCTAGGTCGTTTTTATTGTGCATTCCTCGCCATAGAGGTTGGTGCAAAGCAAATTGCTCTCAATGCTGCTCTGAGTGCTTGTGAGAAAAGCTTGCAGTGGTCTTTGGCAATTTCGATCTTTTCCCAACTCCCGCAGTGCAATTTGATGGCAAGCTTCGTGCAATGACAAGTGTGTTTGCTTCCTTATTTTTTATTCGGAATTATTTCGTTCTCTCTTTTCTATATTTTGTAGAAGCTTGATCGGAGATTGGCAAAAAATGAGGTGTGCTATCAGTCTTTGCATAGGTAGAGCCATCCAAGACATTATCTCCTTCGGTGCCTCCATCAGCGCCTGTGAGAAGGCATCCTTTTGGGAAATCACATTGATTCTACACTCTTTGAGCCAGGACACCAGAGTCAAAGCACACATCAAATTCATTTTGGTAAAAGCAACGACAAAAGGAACATGGAAGACAGAGACCAAAGATAGAATATGACTGCTTGCACACAATCCAACACTGTCGAGCGCATTCCCAGGAATCGAATGCCATCACCTACGGCGCTGCAATCAGTGCCTGTGCAAAAGGACAGCAATGGAAGCTTGCATTGGAGACTCTTTCTTATATGTTGCAATCTCAGGCGAGGCGATTCGGCAAACAAGCTACTAGGAGCAAAGGGCATCGCTACTAGGAGCAAGGACGCTACTAGGGGCTCCTGGCCTTACTGCTAGGAGCAAGAAGCTAATAGAAACAAGACTTAGAATTAATTCAATTTTAATTGAAATTGCAACACGCTTTTGCAATCTCAAGCGAGGCGATTCAGCAAACAAGTGCAAAAAGAGATAGAGCAAGCTCTTATGGAAAGTCTGTTTAGGTTCTTGGAAGTGCAGGTCGAATCCGATCAAATAAACTTCAACGCAGCAATCAGCGCTAGTGAGAAGTGCCAGAAGTGGCAGCTTCCGACTCAGATGTGCATGATGCAAATTTTGTTTCTGCTCGTTCTTGGGCTTTGTTTACCTTTTCCGAGATGTAGCTTTTTGGAAATGAATTGTACATGTGCATTCGCTTGCTTGAGGGTGGCTTCTCTACTACTCAACACAATGACCAGATCACTCATTCAACCTGTCGATGGGAGCTTTAACGCTGCCATCAGCGCGTGCCAGAAAGGACCAAGCCAGACCGAGCGACAAGTACAACACGTCTGGCCATCGCTGTTAGGTTGGAGGCCATTGCTACTAGGTTGGAGGCCATTGCTGATAGGTTGGAGGCTATTGCTGTTAGGTTGGAGGCACTGCTGTTAGGTTGGAGGCCATTGCTATTAGGTGGGAGGCCATCGCTGTTAGGTTGGAGGCCACCGCTTTTGGGTTGGAGTCCATTGCTTTGCTACTCATTAGGTTGGAGGCCACCAGCTGTGGCTGTAGCCACTCTGTAGCCATTGGAGTGGCCTCCCAGCTTGGTGTCGCTGTTGTGTGTGGTGTCGCTTCAAGTGAGGACAGAGCGCTTTACCTGCACCACCTTTGCCCAGCACATACAGTTTTGGTGCTGCCATAGCAGCATGGAGAAGCGAGTGGAGCCTAGCTTTGGATGCCTGGAACAGGCCGGTCAAGGTATAGAGACACACTAAGTCAGCAAAAACGGCCGTTGTGCAGCATGCGTTCTACTTTCTGTACTAGTCCTTTGTGAAAGTACTGTATGTCTTTCTTTCTTTCTTTCTTTCTTTGTTCTCTTGGAAAGGAAGCGAAGGTGAAGACATTCTGGGAGTGCCCACAGCAATGAACATACCAAATCCCACAAATTTGGGGCTGCACAAGAAGGACATACTGTTGAGAAAACCTGCTGATTCTGGTTGTGTCTTTGAGGATGCAGAGCATTGGGCTATCCACAGACGATGCCAATTGCAGTGCCCTCTTGAGCGCTTGCGTCAGAGGCAGCTGCTGGAGAAATGCAATTGGATTTTTGGGCCTCTTGATATGAACATATGATGCAAGCAAGAGATGATCAGGACATATGCAAAATTATGTTGGTTTTTATGATGGCACGCCATTTCACATATGCGGTGAACCGAGTGCCAATAGTCAAGGTGAGACATTTTTGGCTTCAGAGCCTTCGGTGCAATTGGTGTTTGCATCCATCAGTGCCTGCGAAGTCTCTGAAGTGCCTGGACGTTGGCCGCTGAAAAAAGATGAAAAGAAAAGAACATTTGTTACTACTAGCGTCCTTGCTCCTAGTAGTACGGCCAGGAGCCCCTAGTAGCGTCCTTGCTCCTAGTAGCGATGCCAGGAGCCCTTAATAGCTTCTTGTTACTACTAGTAATGCCCTTTTTACTAGTGGGGGGGAAAGTGGTACGACATAGTTTGCCGGTGCATTGTTTGTTTTTCAGATTATGTTCAACGATGCAACCAACCTTGCCGACTCTTCCACTGCTGTGTCCGGTTAAGCCGTATGAATCAAACGAATTAGCTTTGGGAAGCTTTGTCATCTCATGGCTCCGATTGACCCACAGAGTGCCTGGCTGAGTGTTTTGCTAGAGCTGATCTGGTTTTCCTGATATGTTCTCTTGTCTTCATTCATATTCATTCATATTCATTCATGCATGTTGGGGATTTTTTTTAGTTAAATGTGTCGCTCAAGGCAGCGGGCTTTTGGCCTTGTTGGCAGCTGATGCTGGGGGAAAGGCAATAGAAGAGGCACTTCAGATCTGCCACAGGAGGGCAAATAGAAAGATGTACTTGTGATGCTCTTCAAATCTTTGGAGGGATGTTCTCAAACCAAATCAATCCCTTGATAGCTGTGAACATGAGTGCTTAATATTGCTTGTGATTCCGTTGGCGAAAAGAATGTGTGTTCAATCTTTTAGATCTTGCATACTGCAGGAGCCCTCAGCTGGTCACAAAGTTCTTGAAGGGTGTTGCCCGGGAGCAGACCCAGGTGCAAAAGAGGGCGTAACGGGCTGTGGTTGGTAGACTTGAGACAACCCAGTCAAGGGTCTACTAAGTAGAACTTGGTGGACTGGGTAGGAAAAGTGAGAGACAACTTGGAGAGGCTTAAGAAATTCTGAGTTTCGGACCGCAAAACTGTTTGGGGAAAAGTTGGAAAGTCCTGGCACTCTGCTGCAATGCATCCATGTGATATGCATGAGGGATCTAGAAGGTTTGCGCTCGGGGTCTTGAAGGCAAATAGTACTGTAACTCTTTCGTTTTGGCAATCCCCCTCAATATCACTTTGCCAGACTTAGTGTAAGCATGTGTGTGTCACAGTGTGCGTAAGTGTGCGTAACGTATGCCAACGTACATCATAGTGGAGAGTGTGCAAGCAGTGGAGAGACCAGTCCGTACTGGCAACACAAGATCCTGTAGCCCGTCATAGGCAGCTGTCGAGATCTTGGATTTCCTGGTGGACCAGGACGTGGAAGTGAACACCTTTTACTTTAACTCCATAATTGGGAGCGCAGGTTGGGTGGAGGCATTGAATATCATGCAGCGAATGCAAGCAAGTCATATATCATTCAGCCAAGTTACATACGGTGCCGCAATCAAGTCTTGCAGCAAAGCAAATCAGTGGATTCCAGCATTGAGTTTGCTGGCTTCCATGGAAACATCAATGATGCCAAACGAGATCGTGTTTAGTTCTGCCATCAAATCTTTCGAAGCAGAGGGACTGTGGCAAAATGCGCTTTACTTGCTTTTGCGTATGTCTCAGATGACGCTACAAGCAGATGTAGTCTGCACAAGTGCAGCTATGGCAGCAAGCGTGGCAGCTGGCAGATGGCAGGTAGCATTGCAACTTTTTCAGGGAATGTTGGACAAGGTTACCATTGCTGGTGGTGTTGCTGTTTCGCATCCGGATGTCATCAGCTTCAACACATTGCTCACAGCAATGGAGTTGAGTAGCTGGGAGTTGTGCCTTTCCGTTCTTCAAGAAGCAAACCAGCTGCTTGTAACACCCAATATGATTAGTTTCAACAGCGCCATAGGTGCTTGTGATAGAGCTGGCAAGTGGGAATGTGCAATTGGCCTGATGGAACAAGCATCGCGTGCGAGGCTTAGAAAGAATATAATCACGTGCAATTCCTGTATAAATGCTTGTTTGCAGAGCTCCTGCTGGACGATTTCTCTGCAACTATTATACACGGCAGCATATTGCAGATTGAACCCTGACGTTGTCTCTTTTACTTCTGCACTATCAGTATGCTCGCGCGCGGGCTTCTGGCAAGTTGCAATTTGCTTGTTCCAGGACATGAAGAGGAACACCATTACACCTAATGAAGTAGCATGTGGTGCTTTAATGGTGGCCTTAAACGCGAAATGGGAGATGTCTCTTAACTTTTTGGATGAATTATGGAGATCCCGCACTCTGAACTCTGCTACTTGCAATGCTGCAATCAGCTCACTAAAGTGGGAGTGTGCTCTTCAGCTGTTGCAGAGAATGAAGTCAGAGAAGCTCGCGGATGAAATCACTTGGAACACAGCTATCAGTGTTTGTGGGCACTCTCAACAGTGGCAGTGGGCATTGGAACTCCTGGCACACACTGATGGTCCTGGCCTTGTCAGTTTCAACACTGCCATTAGTGCCTGCGAAAAAGGCCCGCCTTTTTACAAAGTGGTTGCCGGTGAATGACAGACTGTGACAGCTCCACAGAGAGTGCCAGAACCACTTGTGCAGGCGATGGATGGCCGGCTGCGCTTGCCTTGCTCAGCGAAATGCCAGAAACTGAAATTTGAATTTTAGCATTGTTTTTGTTTTGAAACGTTCTTGTTACTAGAAGCAAGAATGCTCCTAGTAGCGATGCCAGGACCCCTAGTAGCTTCTTGTTACTATAATTGTTTTGGCATATTTGAATTGTTGCATGTTTGTAGGTGAGACTCCCCTTTGAGTCTTTGACACCAGATGAGTTTCAATCTAGGAGAAATACATATTGCCTGATATTGTCAGTCTGAATGCTGCGATGACTGCTTGTGCTTCGCGATGGCAAATCGTCCTGTGCTTGCTGAACAGCTGTATTTGGCAGGTTGGACCCGGGGGCCTTTGACCGGTGCATTTAGGAATAATGGATTAATATGATGAATCGCTCACTTCTCACCTGTGGTACTCGTTTGTAGTGAAAGTGAGCCCCGCTCTTTCTTTCGCGTTCCTTTTCAGGTGAGAAAGAACATTGTCAGCTACAACATTGCTCTAAGCTCTTGCGAGAAGAGCAGTTCTTGGGAAATGGCCCTTTGCATCCTTGAGTCTATTCCCACTCTGGCATCTCCAAACGAGATCAGCTATGCTGCTGCCATCACAGCTTGTGGCAAAGGCCAACAGTGGCGGTTGGCATTGGATATGTTTGAATCTATTGCACCTTTGAAAGAACGTATCAGCTGTTGTCTTGCACCGTTTGACAACGGTATATTTCTGTGCACCCTTTTTCTTGGCCAAAAGGCAACGGTTGCCTAGGCCAATCCTGATTGCATTTGCACCTCGGTTGATGTGATTTCCTCCAGCTGTTTGCTGTGCTTTTACCATCAGCACACATCACAGGGTATTGTCTAAACAAAGAATAGCACTAGACTCAGACTACACTTTCCAAGAATCGCACTAGTTCCTCAAACGAGTGTGGCACATCACGATGCCAGGTTATAATGCTGCCATCAGTGCGTGCGCGAAGAACGAAGGCCACTTCTGGCGTTTGACTTTGGAGTTGCTTCGGAGCATCTTGAAGGCAGTAATTCTTGTTTACCTAAGTGCCAAATGGGATTGCAGAGTGAAAAACCAAAGAACGGTATGAAATTGTAAGGGAGAGAGAAAGTCAAGCCTAAAGGTCAAAAAGAAGAAGGAAATTAAGAAATAAAGGTCTAAAAAGCTGAACAAAAGGAAAGACAGCAAAAACGAAAAGCCCAATGGTCGAAAAGAAAAACAGACAAACATAACAACGAAAGGAGACAGAAATATCCATGAGTGTTAAAAGCGGGTGTTTCCTTTTGTATGTGTGGCGTCACACTTTGATAAACAAATAAAGGGCCCCCCTAGTAGGTGGTTATTGGAACACTTACCATCCGAACACTAGTCACTTGCAAGTTGTTGTTTAGTTTCAGGAAAGGTCGGTTTCAAAGATCTGTCCCGAGTCCCAACTGTGTGACCGATGGCGCAATACTAAGTGCATGCGAGCAAGCAAACACAATGTACTCATCTCACCAGACTTTTGCTTTGCAGCTTGTTGCCAAAGCAAGCTTCTAAAACGTGTCAAACCTTTGAGCAGTGCTTGTGAGAAATGTATTCAGTGGCAAAAGCACTTTGTTGTTGTGGAGCTAGGGACACGGGAGAACGATGACATTTATTTAATCTACTTCAACTTACAGCTTCAACCCTGTGATGGCTGCATGCCTTAGCAGTTCGCAGCTTGCTGGTAGCGCCTGGCCAGTGGTGGCTTTTGGCAGGACAGGACCGTGGCCGAAACGAAACAAAACTCGGACTTCGGCTTTGGACTTGGATCGGGTCCGTCGTGAAATTCGCCTTTCCAAGAGCTCCAGAGGCCCAAGGCACACATGAAAAGACCCATTGCAACATCCATCCCTCCTTAAGCTGCCAGATTTCAGGGGGACCTGCGAAATGTAATATTACATTTCCAGGTCTCTAAGCATTGCTATGGCCTCAGAAGGTGTTGGCGCCATCTGACTTTTGCCCAGTGCTCTGAATATCTCTGAATGTCGCAGTGATCAATTTCAAACAAGCACAAGAACCAGTATAAAGACCATGGAGTAGCTATGAGCCTCTGAAGGTATAGCAGATAATGTCTTGTCATCTATCTTTGAAGCGGATAAGTGACAAAAAAAAGGTTCTCACTGCAATCTGCTATGTATTGCCTTTGGTGTCGGCTTGCGCCATATTGCGCCATGACAGAGCGGGCCAGCCAAGGCAAGACCTTGCGAGCTGTGTTAGCAACATTTAGCAACTGCACAACACTACCTTTTGCTTGCTTTTTGTGTTGACTTAGGAACTTTGGTTGATTGGACTTTGCGAGGTTGATGCACGATGCGCAAAATCATTCTGTATACGGAGAAGCTACTTTTGAAGTTAGCTGACTTTACAGACTTAGCATGGTTATAACTAGACTTACCAAAGTTACAACACAGATATACTAAGTTGTTTATAAATTGTTGTAAGTTGTTATAACTTATGTTATTAAGCTTCGGGTAACTCTTTCTAACTTTTTGCTAACTTTGTGTGGAGACGCGGTGCAATATGTGACGAATGTAGTAGTGCTGATGCAAGGCGGCGAGTCTGCAAGCTTGGAAGATCTTGGAAGGCCTGCTGCGTTTACGATGTCAAACGCGTGGTTCTTGTCTTGCCATTGGATGATTTGGATGTGAGATGTGTTAGAATCGAAGATAGCGTGTCAACCACACGGCAATCCCTAACCGTAACCCTCATGTTGCTTGGCATGTGGTGCTCATTTGATTGATTGTTGACTTTTGGCCCAGGGTCTATAGGGCTGCAGCTTCACCTGTGTCCGAAATAGCGATGGCTGCCCAGCCTGCCCATGCCATCAGACTGCGGTGCAAGACTCCAGCTTCAGGAGCGTTTGCAAGCTGCAATGCGTCCAGCGTGGCAGTGAAAAAGAAAAGCAAGCGCTCGGCAGCGCGACAGGCTGCGCTCCGAGAAGGCGTTGTGGCGAAAGCCGCCAGACCATTTGGTTTCTTTGTCAAGCGCTTTTTTAGCGTCGGCAAAGGCCAGCCAGCGAAAGATCATCGGGAGGAGATGCGCCGACTCGGCCGCTTGTGGCGCAGCTTAAGCGACAAGGAGAAGGAGCCGTTCAAGGTCATGTGTAGCGAGGCTTTTGCCGCGCAGAGAGCCGCCTTGCTTAGCCGTGGCATTGCAAACGCGAGAATCGTGAAGGAGGTGACAGTGCAGGAAGAAGCAAATGGAGAAGAGCCAGGCCTGGCAACAGGGCAGTCTGCTGCACAGCACGTTGACAAGGTTGGGCCATTTACGCTCCAGGAACGGATTGGAGAAGGTACTTACGGCCGAGTTTTTGCCAGTTATTCGCCTACCGGAATCAAGGTAGCCTTGAAGGTGTGGAAAACCGATGACTGGCAGCAAGAGGTTGAAGCATGGCAACACTTGTCCAACGCTTTGTCTGTGAGGGTGCAGGATGGGGCTTTCTTCCCGACCATTGTGGGTGTTGACAAAGCTGGCAAACCTTTTCCATGGATGGCTTTTGAATACGCAGGGGAAACCTTGCTGAAAGTCTTGTCGGTGGATGGGCCTTTCCAGCCCCAAAAGGCAAGGAACTTGGCGGCCCAGGTGCGCAGCGCCTTGAAGGTGTTGCACGACGTTGGCATTTGCCATTGTGATTTGCACCCCCGCAATGTGCTGTGGCAGCGTGGCATTGAGCGGGCCAAGCTGGTTGACCTTGGCATGTCCGAGTTTTGGAAGGGGCCTCTTTCCAACAAGGAGTTGGGGTACAGCGTCTATACCTGTGCGCCAGTTCGTTGCCCAGAGCTTTGGGCGCACGCCGGGAAGGCTAGCCTGAAATCAGTAATTTCCCCGAAGGTTGACTACTGGGCATTTGGCTGCCTTGTGTACCACGCCTGCGCTGCCCGGACGCTTTTCAAGCCTTTGGGCAACAGCAGTGAAGAAAAGCCTGCTGCAATTCACAAGGCGATTGCGTCATGGTGCGAGGTGCACGCTAGCCTTCCTCAGGCAGCGCGGACAAGCCTTGGTCGACCGCTTGGTGGTCAGAGATCGTCGCCATTGCAGTTGGCAGGGAAGAACATGGAGCACACATGGCGTGCTAGGCTGAGCCTTGCAGGGGGGCTTGACCGAAACGATCGTGTCTGCTTGTCATCCAGTACCCAGTGAGAGGACCATGGTCAACACTTTGAGGTAGACTTAGGCTATGACATTCATGAGAGCAATCATAGCAGCATAGCTGCGTTTGGGGGAGGGACAGTACAGAATGTACAGACGTCGGCCCGACAAGACCATTGGTGTGAGTTTGTATCTTCAATATCCTCAATGGTGGGGGACTGGGCACGAGATGCTGAAAGAGGCGCACGAGTGGCTTCTGGCAAATTGGGATGTTGACAGGTGAACATGGTGATTTGAATATATTGATACTCTCAGATAGATTAGTCGCATCGGTTTGCACTAAATGTTGCCGTTACTTGCGTCGAAAGGTCTTCGGGAAGTCGCATCGGTTTCATGATTCCATGCTGTTTTGAGAACATGCGACATGCAAATGATCTAGCTAACCTTTCTTTCAATGCTACTGGGGCCTCGCTTTACGTCGTATCAACTGGAGGAAAGTCGTATCAAAATGGTGTGCCCTTGGGGATTGGGTTTTCTATGGATGTTTGTTGTTGTTCTATTTGTTCTACGAACCGATGTTAATGTGCTGTGCCCATGCGTTGCTTGCTTGTGTGATAGATTCAACAACCTTGTTGCATCATTGCATCGTGTTTTTTCAACAGACAGCGTGAGCTATTAGGGTTCTTACTTCAAGGAGCTGCGTGTGTGCGTTTTCGAGCGTGGGTGCTGGTGCCGCTGAAGGGAGCCGCTGTTGTTCCAGTGTAGGAAGAGCTGCGTGTTTGCGTGCTCGAGCTTGGGCGCTGGTGCCGCCGCAGGGTGTGCTGGGGAGCTTGGGTGCTGGCGCGTTGCAGAGTGCCGCTGCTGGTTTGCTGCTTGTTTGCTGCTGGCTTGCTGCTGGTTTGCTGCTGGTTTGCTCCTGGTTTGCTGCTTGTTTGCTGCTTGTTAACTGCTGCTGCTGCTGCTGCTGCTGCTGCTTGTTAACTGCTGCTGCTGCTGCTGCTGCTTGTTGGCTGCTGCTGCTGCTGCTGCTGCTGCTGCTGCTGCTTGTTAGCTGCTGCTGCTGCTGATTGTTAGCTGCTGCTGCTGCTGCTGGTTAGCTCCTGCTGGTGTGCTGCTGCTATTGCTGTTGCTGTTGTTGTTGTTGGTGGTGGTGGTGGTAGCTGCTGCTGCTGCTGGTGTGCTGCTGGTGTAAATGCCTACTGCAGCTGCTTCCGCAAAGGAAATGGAATAATTTCGTATAAAGCCAAAACATTTTTCAAACACTAACGCGCCTTGTAAACAGGAACCTGATGTGACCCTGGTGTGACCCCGTCGCATCGGGCCCCCCCTTGCAGATTAACAGTTTTCCAGTCACCTGATGTGACTAATATTGTTGACAGTATATTGCATATATTGCATTGCCTGAAAACTTACAGCGCGCTGTGATTGTTGCAGTTGCCATGTGTTTGGATTACATGGTGACAATTTGTCGTTGTGGTTCGGCAACGCGGCAAAAGGTTTTGAGGTTTCAGTTTCAATCTTTGATAAAGAAGTGGCTGCGTTGCAGGCCAAGCGCATGCACGCCCCCTACCAGCATCAGTTCAAGCGACAGCCTTTTCAGGACGCTTGATGCCTTGAAATGATTGATATGTGTGACTCTTTGATGTTTCTGATATTTCCGTGACGCCATGACACTTGGATGTATTGATTGTGTTGCGAAATATTGTGATGAGTATCTGCATGGATGAATTACGTTAACGTGCCCGAAGGTCTGAAACTTATGATCTGGAAAAGCGTATTTATCATGTCTCTACCAGGGTTTGGGCACACGCGCTTGTAGTATGAATTCTCGCCGCTTCTTTTCTTCAAGGACTTACACCTTACATGCCCCGTTCCTTTCGTTCCCAATGCAGCCGGCTGCTCAGGTTTTTCA